AATAAATAAAACAAGAATATTAAATTAAACATAATTTGAAGTTGCATAAAATTAAAAAAAAAAAAAACTAAAACGAATCAAAAAATAAAAACGAGAAGTTGCTTATTTTTACGTTCATGAAGTTCATAAAGTACCAAATATGTATTTTAGAGGGTTACGAATAACATTTAATAAAAACCACCATTGTGTCTTTTGGTCAAAGCCTTCAATACTATTCTAAAACCAATTTCCGATAGAAAATATTAGCCACACGTCAATAATGTTATCCGTTTAAAAAATATTGCTTCAACTGCTTGGTGGTAGGTCAATATTTAAATGAAATAGGACTATTTAAAGGAAATTCATTGCTCTTGTACTAAATGTGCTTTAAGTTTTTATTCGGTTAGATTGGTCTGATATAGGTGAAATATGCATGGTTTTGTTCAAGAACTTATTACCATTCGAAACTTTCGTCATTTTTGCAAAAGCCAGGGACACTCGATTATCCCAAACTTCTCGGGAGGCGAATTTTCACCAGCAAATCCATGGACAGGGGCGTATACCACTTGCTGCCAGGTTCGACCTATAAGAAATGTGGATAAGAAGCACCCAACTTAGCCTCGGGAGCTTCTGGTAACTCATTATTGATGGCTGTCGTTGTCCTGATGGAACACTCTGGTCACTTTTTTGCGATTGTTTACTTCAGTCAGTAGAATTGTTGACAGTACGGATATTTTTTAAATTGAACTTTCGGAGTGTGGTACATCTTTGACATCAAAAATACCGTATTCTAACAGTATCAGAACCATAAACATCCTTTACATTTTCTGCAGCCTGGCTTAAGATTTCGGTGTTGAAGAAAACCTCTATAAAATGGAGTAGTTTATCTTTGCAAATCTAATATTTCTAACGCAATAAAGAGAAACCGATCTCACTTATATAACGCGCGATACAGAATACTAAGCCACGATTTCGCGATATAATTTTCTTTGACAGAATTTTTTTCGAAATTCAATTCGACAATTGAAGGCACTGTTTCGACTGCTTCTTGAGCTCTAGTGTAGTCCATGGTTCGTCGACGGTTACAATACGACGCAGAAACTGTTTAAGCTAGCACTTAGACATCATCAAAAGCTGCTGTAAAGCGGTTTCAAAGTTGCACTAGGTTTCCGAAGTAAGTAAACGGAGGACCCAGGTTGCTGACATTTTCTTATGATTAATATATAATTGAGTATAAGGCCCAAGTGATCCATTGAGATGCCTACTATCTCAGCTATCGTACCAGGACGTGATTCTTCAAAACCCGAGATACGACTACTTTGAAACTCATTCAACCAATTTTTGACTGTCATCATTGAAATAGAAGAATATATACAGAAATCCAAAGAGCTTCAGTGATATTATTTTTCCGTGTCTTAATCTGAAAAACTGAAATTGAAACCATTTCAAACACAATAGAAATTTTGAACGGCACTCATCTAACACTAACAACTATAATCATTTATTTTATGATCAATTCTGTTTTGACTAAGAAACGGCGCAAAGCAGTTCATCATTCATTTTATGAGCGAACACATTTAAATTCAATTTTGCCATCATTTCGACAGCAAGAACACACAAATTTTATAACCGATACGTATTTAACGAAAATCAAAGTTTTTGATGACGGATTAGACGTTGTTTGACAACAAAGAGACAGACATAAGGAAGGTAACAACACCATGGGCAGACGACTAAAGTGCACCATAAAAGTATGATGGCACTCAATACAGGTAGCAATTCAGCAGTTTAGGAGTGTTTAGCCTTGAGAAAACAAAGGAAAATCAAAGCGACTTTTACGCACGAAAGTATGCAACAAAATTCGTTTAGTTTATTATGTGTGAAGTTTACATATGTATAGTACGTATATGAACTGAACTAAACTGTGGCGGAAATAAAGCGGCAATTAATTAACTTAAATTTAGATGAAAAAGAGTGCAAAAATAAAGATTGCGGTTGACAATAGCCGAGGGTGCAGCAGGTCAGCAGCGCTTTAATGACCGATGTGATTTGATACGCGATCAGTGCGTTTTGTTGTTGCAGCAAGACAACTAAACATTTTTGTGATGGTTTGTGTTGCTGCAGATGCTTTTAAGCTAATATCTATTGGCGAGCAGCATAATGCGATCAGCGCTCGCCTTTTGACGCGAAAATTGTCAACTGAACTGCGCGCGCCGGCGATCGACATTAACGCCGCCGCCTTTGATCACCCACTTCGAAGCGCAAATTTGCAAATTTGCATTGATTTCGCGAATTTTGTAGTGCGAAAAGCGTAGCAATTCGCATATAAAACGATATTGCAAGGTAGACAGGTCAAGCAGTGCAATCGTAAGCCTCTTAGAGGATCAACACATTCAGTGCAGTGAAGTGTAGTGTGTGATTTTGAGTGAAAATCAAAATATTATCAAACACATAATATTATATCTCTTATATTGAGGAAGTACTAATTCTAAACAAGCTATTTCGCAATGCGTTCTTTTGTATTACTCGCTTGTTTGGCAACAATTGCCGCCGTGAGTGCTGCGCCACAATTCGGTTACGGTTATGGCGCTCAGCCAGCCGCCAGCAGTTTCGTACCTTCAACACGTGGTGGCGAGAAGTATTTACCGCCCGCCACAACAACACCAGCACCCAGCGTACACAAGCAATTCTACTTGATTTCAGCGCCGGAAGACACTGAGGGCGCTAGCAAACCAAAACACCTGGTCATCGGACGTCCACAGAAGAACTATCGTGTCGTCTTCATTAAGGCACCAAACTCTGATAACAGCAACCTCAAACTGTCAGCCGAATTCGCACCGCAAGAGGAGAAGACCGTCATTTATGTGCTCAGCAAAAAGGATAACGAGCTCACAGCCAATGACTTTGCCACACCAGCACCAACGGTGCCCAGCAAACCCGAAGTATTCTTCATCAAGTACAAGACACCCGAGGAAGCTGAGGCGGCACAGAAAGAAATTCAAGGTGAGTTGCTCACAACTTGAGGCAATATTTAGCACACAAAAGCATAAATTACAAAAAAGTTAAATAATCACAATTAAAATATTCCCATCACAGACCAATACGACCAATTGGGCGGCACTAAGGAATTCTCTGATGAAGGTACCGCTCCTGTGGCTTCGGTTATCGGCTCTTTGGACGGTATTGCTCCCGATGGCAGCTACAACTACAGAGCCATTGCTGCCCCACCAGAGGAACTCGGCAGCGCGTCCTCACCACTTAGCCAGTACCTGCCAGCTGCGGCGCGTCTGTAAGACAACGCTTCAAATGCAACTGGATTTGTTAGAATTGTTCTGTTGTTATTTGTTAACATTGCATTGCGTAATACGTGGCATAAAGCCGAAAACTCATTGATTAATTGTTAATTATAATTCATTGTTATTACTTTTTATTGTTTTTTTATTTACGAAAATTACGCGATTTAATAAAATTTAATTATAAAAATTAGTAAAGTTTTTTTTTACTAGCGGGATCAAAGAAAATTAAATACTAAGATTAGAAAAATTAGCTTAAAATAATAAATAACAAGAAAAAACGTTAAATACCCTTCACAAATACAAAAGGTTCCTTACAAGAACTTCACCCCGGTCGTTCAGTTTGGTAGATATGCCCCATCTGTACAATTATTGGCTTAGAAAATAACCCAAACCAAATTTCGTGAATATATCTGGTCAAATGAAAAAGTTTTCGAAACAAGCAAGTTCAGTTTCTATGCCAGCTACATACTATAGTTGTCTGATATCGATCGTTCCGAGCAACTTCTTGGTGAGAAAAGCACGGCACATCAAATCTCAGATCGATATCACAAAAGTGATAGAGTGGCTAAATAGATTCACTTATATTTACATTTATGGAATTATAGGGCTTCTGATGTTACAAACACAGAGGCAAATAATATACCCTGTTCATGGTATAAAAACGAAGCCAAAGTTAGGGGTAACCGAAGATATTCATATGAAGTATTTTTTAGGGATAAAAGTCAAGAGCATTTTCATTAATATTTCAGATTCATATTTTAAAGAAATTTACTTAAAATTTCAATTATTACAATTATCAATCTTCTGGGTAGCCAAAAAACATTCGTTTGAAGGCGTATCAAGCGTCCCCAGGATTGTTCTCTGGGTTTGGGACCCGCCACATAAAAAAAACACCCCCAAAGAAAAAGACACAACATCCTCGGATCACACTTTTCACTGACGACCACTGCAAACGATTTAAGGGAATGGACAAGGACTGAGGCGTGTAAGTCCTTGTGATATTTACTACAGTGGCCATATAAAGAAGCGCAAATTCAATGTAAAGAACAATGTAGTTATCTGTAGACAGCTGAACGATTTTCTGCCCGACTTGCGCTCCTGCTCCCTGAATGCACTTATCGGCAACTCGGTATGGTATGTGAGACAGTACTTTTAGCTGCTTACGTACAGCTTCAAACCAACCCATTTGTTTACCTAAAATGTAAAAGAGCAGCTGGTACGATGAGGCTGCCTACCTCGCAACGTTACAATCGACAACAACACGTGCGGAATGGGATAGATACCAAGAGTTGAAGAAGGAAGCAAGACGCATTTGCAGACAAAAAACAAAAAAGAGAAGTTAAAATGCGTGAATACGAAAAGCTTGGCAATCTGAACTACTGCCGAGCTATTCAAACACGGCGGCGAAGAACTGATAAGGAGCATGAATCAGCCCATCATGAGAATATGGTCAGATGAAAACATGCCCGACGATTGAAATTTAAGTGTGCTTTGCCCAATTCTCAAAAAGGGAGATCCCACAATCCGCGCCAACTACCGTGTGATAAGCCTCTTCAACATCGCATATAGAGCGTATTGTGTGAAGCAATAAAGCCCACCGTCAACAAACTGATTGGACCTTACCAGTGTGGCTTCAGGCCTGCAAAATCAACAACTGACAAGATATTCACCATGCACCAAATCTTCGAAAAGACAATCAACACACACCGCCTCTTTATCGATTTCAAAGCTGCTTTTGATAGCACGAAAAGGAGTTGCTTTTATGCCGCTATGTCTGAATTTAGTATTCCCGCAAATCGAGTATAGCTGTGCAAATCGACGTGGCGCAATATCAAAAGCAGAATATTAACTCTTGCCTCCAGATGCTAAATCGGACTGAGTAGGCAATTGAGAAGTAAATTCCTCTCTCAACCAACAAAGACAAAATTCAGAAAATTTTTTAATTGAAATTGATCAAGTCGTTGAGTTGTATCATTGTTCATTAAAACAGCTGCCAAGAAGCACTTTTATATATATTACGTTGCGAAGTTTAATACATTTTTTTACTTTCAATTTAGTGTTATATGATGAATGGAAGTAGTTGTTATCCAATTTCACCTATTGTCACAGTGGCTGAGGACTTACAGGAAGCTTTTGTGTAAAAAAAAATATGGTTGATATAACTTAAGAGGTTTCGAAAGTATGTACTAAAACTTAATTAGGTGTTAGGACACGCCTATTCATTGCAGCAAATTATATATCTATATCTCAAGTAGCAGCTAGTTATAGCTCTTCAAAACATCACTATGAGGATTTTTAAGCGAAATTCTTAAAAATAGTTTTACGCTTATTCTTTTCATTCCTTATTCATATACTACATCTTTTGACTTTTTTCGCGCTTTCAATGATATAATTCGTGGAGTTAGCTCCGCTGCTTAATATTTAATCGGTTTCATTTGAATTGCAAATTCGCAAAGTTAGTTCGTTAATTTACGAGCGTATAACATCAATTAGTTTTGAAAAAATCATTTCCGATTCTTAAAATCATAAATATGAATTTGTCCGCCGCTAACTGCTGTATCGATGCCTTTTCTTCTCGTTTCCTTTTGTATTTATTATTAACAATTTAACAGAGTCAAGGTTTTTTTTTATGGGTTTTGAAGTTCTCAGGTTTCATCAAGATAAAAGAAAAAAATGCGTATTCAAGAGGTTTTGAAGCAGTAAGGCGAGAAATCATTAACTTTCTTGAAATTGAGGTGACAAGGAAAAATTTACAGTCTGTATGAAATGTGTTCACTTAAGGAACATGGAGCTGGCCATAGAGAAAAGTTAATGCATACAAATAAACGCCAGAAAGCAACGATAGTGTTTGTCAAATAGTATTTTGCTGTAAAACTTCGGATCTTTAGATGGCTTTGCCGTCTACCGATTATACGAAGTTTGCACAGTAAACTGCTGAAAATTCATACTTTTAAGTAAAACGAATGAGTGATAAAAGTCTTACTAGAGATCTCTTCTCAATGAACAATGCCAACACCTTTTAAATAAGTACTAGAAATTATTTACTTGGAGAAGGATATAATTTTAAGTATTTGACTGTATATTTTACAAAATTCCTACAACCTAAGTAGGTCCTAAAAGAGTTCCCGGATATTGTAATTTCAATTTCCCGCGTAAATGAGAGAGGGTGCGTTCGAATGATTTAGGTGGATATTTTATGAAACGCATTCTTCCTTGACTCGTCCCGATAAAGCTGAATTTTTTTCAAAGAGTACCGTAAACAGGTATTTTTGAATTCCGATCCCACATTCATGGAGAACATTTAACTGCCGATAAAACAGAGGTTTATGAGTTTAACATCGGAATGGAAGGAAAAAACAAGCCGAAACAAAAAAAAAAACGCCAAAGCACCAAAATTAAGGTGATGTTCATTGTTTTTTCGATATTCGTGGTTTGCTGCATCATGGATTCGCTATGGACAGACAGACGGTCAATAAGAAGTTCTTTTTGGCCATATTGAAGCCTTTGTGTGAGAACGGCCGGAATTATGATGTGTGGTTTTTCTTGTTCCCCAAACTGAAACCCGTTTTCAGTCAATCGAAGAGATAAAACAAAATTCGCTCAAGGATCTTTTATTAACGGTATTCATAACATCGTTTCGAAGGTTTTTTTAGATGAGTGGTTTTCAATGAGGCCATACTTTTTGGAGTTGGTCCTCTTGACATAATCAGCTGTGTGTGAATGTGTTTCGGAGTTTTATATAATGGACAGACTTAATTCGGAACACATAATCGCACACTCATTTCCACAAAAAAAAATTTGTTTCAGCGATGAAGCTTACTTATGTTGAATGGGTACGTTTTAGGGGGTTAGGGTTTCATGGTAAAAATTAAATTTTATTTCTTAAATAGGAATAAAGTAGTTTTATTCTGACTTTTGTACATTATTGAGCACACTTTTGACAATATATGGTAATTTTTTCATGCATAAACAGGTAACAGAGCTTTCAAGATCATGCGATTTAATACTGCTGAAGTATTTTTTGGAGGTTATGTGAATTTTCTTTTTACGCGAATAAGCTCGAGACGGTTGACGCCTTGTATGAGAATATTCGGCGCGTTATTGCTGATATTCGCTCTAATTGCAGCGAAAAATAGTCGAAAATTGGGCCTCGCGTGGATCACGTACCCGAAATAATTTTTAAACATAATAGCAAACTCTTAACTTCATAATGAAGCTAAATTCTCAACTGTAACATTAAATTATATGAGTTTTTTCTTATTGAAAACCACATGTCTGAAAAAGAACAATTTAGATTAAAAAAAAAGTTTTTTACGAACTCAGTACCGACCCCTACCGCTCACTTATGTCAAACCCTTGCGTTCTAGATAAAGGAGTTACTTTTTAACAAATGGAATTTTCTCACCCCCCGCTCCTAGTGTAAGTCCATGTGGAGTAATTTACAGTAATACCTATCTAAAGAAAGTGAAACAAAAAGTTTTAATGAAAGATAAAAGAAAAACATTCACTGAAATAATTGTTAAACAATTTTGGCAGTTTCAGTCATGTGCCACAGTAATGAAGTTGCCACATAACACCCACACAGATCTGTGGGTAAGAAGCGTATAAATGAATATAATTACCAAAATGCGTACACAGCAACAACAAATAATATTGCGCTACTAATTAGTTATGCAATTTTTCATAATTAATTCCAAAAAATTTCAGTAAGAAAATGGAGAAGTGTTGCAGTTGAAGGAAAGAGAGAGGCAGTCGGTCATGATTTCCAATTGGCAAATAAGCACGAGAGCGAAAAGCGCAGACACATTGACATTGAACTAATTTAATTAGCAACAAGGTTTACTTGAGTTACAGATCTGTATGCACAAATAAGTATGGTGTATATCAGCCTACATGAGGGCGGATGCAATTATGACCATCAACATTTGAATAAACCAATAAAAGTGTTTGGAGTTTCTCAGGCGCAGTCAAGATGTGAGTTTGTGTTTGCATATCGGCAACATATTATCAACTCGTTCATATTTAAATATATATTTTCACCACCACTGTTGCATGCAACATTAAAAATTTTCTCAAGATTCAACTTCTGATTTGCATCCGACCTTTAGTTGCCTATAAAATGTTGCTGTCAGTCAAAACCCATCAACAGTTTTGAAAA